CTTATTTACCCCAAGGGGCCACATTTCACCTTAGTGTACAGTATGAGGGCCAAATAATCATGAATAAATCAAGTCCACATCTTAGTTAGGTCGTATTAAGGCCATATGGTTGAAGTAAAAATATTGAAAGCTATTCCATTCATTATCAAAACACAATAATAAAAAAAACTGTAAGAGTGTAAATTATAATCTTAAATAATGAAGGACTGGCTTAATTATTCACATGAAATGGCCAGCTGTTAGATTGAAATAGAAAATGTGCCACAGGCTGCACATGGGAGTGTGGCAGGCCACATGCAATGTTTGACACCCTTGATGTACAGGGTTTGTGTATGAAGGTGGCTATGTATGCCATTGTGATAGTAGGCTTATCTTTGATTAGGATAGAAGATGAAATAATGTAAGCAAAATAAGGGAAGAAGAGCAAGAAAAAAATATCCAAGGAAGTAAAATATGCCATAAGTATTATGTCTGATGTTTTGTTTTGAAATACAGTAGGGTTTTATGAATTCTGAATCCTCTGAAAAGCATCATTCTGAATTTTCACATGGATTTAGCTGTCAGCAAATTGATCTGTGTTTCTTTACAGTTGTGTCTTTTCCCAGGTCTGTATGAGAGAGAAAATGATATAACTGAAAGGATTAATGATGTTTTTGTGATACATAAAACCTCCCGGATTTATATAATGTAACAACCCACAATAGGAAGTTTTTTGGTTGATGATATAATTGTGAAATAAGAAAATTGTTCTTTCCCTTTGTATTACCTATGTTAATTTTTCCACTTTATTCAATATTACTGTGTTCATTATTTCTTTTTTGCTGTAACAGCATACCACAAACATTACAATAAACAATACTTATGTATACTTCAGGTATGGGTAGCACTGTATTCACACACCTTTTTAAAAGGACCAGATGCTGCCCAGTTTTTTTTCCTCCGAATTTGATTAATTTTGGCAATAAACCAAGTTCAGGAAGAGTATATTTAAGCAGTTACAGCTATATTCACAAATAATTTTGGCAACTTTCCAAATATTTGCACACAGATGTTGCAATTGTTTTTTCCTGTTTTGTATATCTTGAAGGTTTGCAGAAAACATTTCTGTTGCATCAGAACACTATAGCACAAATATTTTATGAGTAAATCTATTTCTCTGTGTATCAACAAAATTTGATTTTAATATCTGCAGAATAAGCATGTGTCTGGATGTGTGTGATGTATGTATTGTTTTTATATGTATATATATACTTGTATCTTTTTAATAATTAGGATTGTCTGACAGGCATTCAGACTAAAAGTGAATCTACTAAATGTCCTTTTGTGTACTTACAGCATAGAAGTGCATGTCCTGTAATAAGATTTATTTGAGTTCTTTATCGAAATTGATTGTTGATTAAGCAAGTGATTATTGAGTGTAATGTGCAAGTAATATCCATTCGGAGAAAAATAAGATATATTTGAGTTGATGTTTCTTCCCTCAAGCAGTTTATCATGAGGAGACCACCTTTCTTGTGTATACTTTTTATACGTTGGTGGTTCCAAAAGTTAATAAAGAAGTTTGTAATCTACCTTTCTTTTCGTTTTTGTATGCCTTTTGACATATGTTATTGGAAGGAGGAAAACCTTTTGAGATGTTGCTTTTAGTCTGTTGAAATTTATTTTGATTACCTAGTGCTGTTTACAATAGTGCTATATGACCTTTGATGTCTAGTACATTTATTTGTATAAAACATTGACCAGTGTGCTGTTTATGTATTATGTAATTATATCGCTGAATGTATTTGTAATCATGAATTTTTCTACGTAATGATATATACACACATTCCCTGCATTAATTACTGACTTCTGATTAAGGCTTAATCTGTTGCATGCAGGATGTGGCATTTAGCAAGTGGCTTGAATAGGAATATCTTTTTCATGCTAGTCATTTGGGAAATGGATTTTGTCAGAATGAGAGACCCCTGTGCAACACCTTTTGACAAAACTCTTGGGAGAGACATAGAGTCACAGTTTACTAATTTTTTTATTCAATTATAAAAACATATAAATTTATCTTTATATATATGGAGTCTTGTAGAGCCATTTTGATCCTTCTCCAAATGCCGGTCGTAAAAAGCCGCCAAACATGCATAATGACACAATGCAGAACTTGCAGATAACCTTAGTTACCTTCCACCAACTTAGCGTCATTGTATTATTTAATTACTTTTCAACACTGAACCTGCTGTTGTTGAATCTGCGACGAAGCTGCGTTGGTCGGCATCGGCACCGAACTCGAATGATATGTAGCACTACCTTGGGTCTGATCCTCACAAACCCGTGATGGAATATTTAGCTGATTGTGGATTAGTTAAGTTGAATTTGTCTTGGTGTGTATATTTCTGAAAAGCGCACCCTTCTCTAACACACAGCTTGGAGACCTTCATCCAGAAGCACCTACACTTGCTGGGGTTATACTTTGCCACATTCCCCAGTTCCCTCACCTCATCCCCAGGATTCTTCTCCTGCTACTTCTCCAACAGCTATCTCTACCCGTATTATCTGTTGATTGTTTCATATTACCTCTTTTACCAGTTTTTTTGGTTTCAACCATTAACTATTAACCATTGCTGGGGTTATAGGATACACAACAAAAAAACTTCATCAGAACCTCCAAAGACTCATCGAGTGTAATCCTCTGGGGTTCAGTAGACTGACAAGAATTGTCGATTGTCGGTGGTGAGCAAGGTCGAGAGAAGTATAGACCTTTGTATAGACCGTCACACAAAGAATCTGTGTCAGCTGGATGGACCGAACTCTTCAGAATCTTACTTTTTGCTTTGACAACCTGTTCTCCTTCCTCAGATGCATACATATTCTTCACTTGATCTAATCCCCTTACCTAACCCTAATATGTAACCCATTCACTCATCAACTCCTTTACCCATCTTTAATGTTTTCATTATTACTCTAGATAGTCGACGCATAGCAACTAACTACTAACTCAACCACCCTTCACTATCCTTTACTGTACTTTCCTATAGTGCAACATGACCTTAGATGTCTAGCACATTTATTTTGCTTTTAACCATTAACGAGAAGCAGTGGGCTGAAAGAAGCACTGCATGACGATGTGAGGGATTTTTTCTTTACAAAATTATGATGATGAGAACTCAGAACGGGGAGTCAAATTGAGGGCCTTCCCTCAGTTCCCTTCTTATGACGGCAATTTTCCTCCGCTAATTACAAATATCAGACAACTATCTAGATACTGGACGACACCCAGAATCAAAAATAAACAGCAAGATGCAAAACAAATAAATCAATCAATCCCGGTATGAGGCCAGCTGTTGCCGTCAATACAATATTGACGCTCTCCTTCCTTGAGCAACTTTGCTTGACAGCCTGAGCCAAGATTTCTGATTTCAAGGACCTGCTGACACTCATCCGCAGCGAGTTCAAGGTTGAACGTTCTGTAGCAAAATATGCAGAGCAACAACAGCAACAACAATGATGATCATCAGTGATAATCATAGTGACCACAACGACTAGTAAAGATGTTTATGATAGTATAATTATGATACTGGTATTAATGATTAAGAATGAATAATGGAAATGTGTACTTAATGACTACAGTGACTGTAGTCATTAAGTAAACTAATGTCATTAAACTAAATAGTCATCAGCTACTACTGCTAGAAGTATTGGTCTTTATGATAAAATCAGTGATATTACGAATTGTAAAAAAAAATGATAAGATTAAAGTTGATTATGAATATAACATTTAATGGCAACCACGGCAGTAACAGAGCAATTAGAACAATAAGAATAACAAGGATGATGATGTTATGAAGTTAATGGTAATGTAATTAGACAATAATAATGATGATGATGATAATAAGAATAAAGATAATTATAATAATAGCAATAATGATAACAATAATGATAATAATGATAATAGTAATAAAATAATGATAATGATAATGATAATAGTAATATCAATATTAATAGAAATGATAATAGTAATAATAGTAATAATAATAAAAATAATAATAATAATAACAGCAGCAACAACAACAATAACAATGAGAAGAATAGTAATAATGATACTAATAATATTAATGATAATGATATTGACATTGACAATGATAATCACTGTAATATGTGATAATGATAGTCCTGACAGTTGTAATAACGATAATGATAACAGTATTAATGATATCAATAACAATAAAAGGAGTTACCATTATGATGATGATAATGAGAATAATAATAATAATAATAATAATGATGGTAATAATAATAGTAACAATATTGATAATAATAATAGTGAAAGTGATAACAATAACAATGATGATAATAATCATACTAATGATAACAACAATGATGACAATAATGATAATGATAATGATACTAGTAATGATGATGATAACAACAATAATAACAATAATGCTTATTCTAATGATAATATGACGACAACAGCAACAATAATAAAGGTAATGATGATAATGCTCATATTAGTAACGATAATGATAGTAATGATATTAAAGATAATGATAATGATAACAATAATGATTATAATAACAATAACCATAATAGTAATAAAATAGTAATGAAAATAATGATTATAATAATGAGAATAATGACAATGATAATGTTAATAAAAATATTAATAGTAATAATGATAATAATTATGATAATGATGATGATGATTATATTAATGGTAATAACAATAATGATAATGATAATAAAGATGATGAAGATGATGATGGTGATGATTATGATAATGATAATAATGATAAAGATGATGATGATTATGGTGATTATAATAATGATAATAATGATAGTAATGATGATACTAATAATGATAACAGTAATACTAATAATGGTGAAATAAAAAAAAAGATAGCATTGATAATAAAAAGAATGATTATAAATAATGAACAATAATAATGATAATGACATTAGTAATAGTACTTATGATGATAATGATAATAATAATGATAGTTGTGATAATA